CAAACAAACAAACAAACAAACAAAAACAAACAAACAAACACATAAGAGTACTTTTCTTGAAAGAGGATTTGGGCTTTTCAACACTTGAAACTTTAATGCAATATTACTATACTGCAGCCATGTAGGTGTCAGTGAGACATAATGAAGGGAAACACTCTTCCAGTTGTATCTTTTTTGTTGTTGTTTTTGAAAAGCAGTCTCACTATGTAGTTCAGGCTGCCTTGAGCTCACTTTGTAACCGAGGCTGGATTTGAATTCACAGTGATCCTCCTGCCTCAGCCTCTTGAATTCTGGGATTACAAAAATGTGCCCCCACACCCAACTTTCCAGTTATATCTTAATTTCATACTTTGTTTCTCTCATTTGTTATGCCCTTGTCTTTCTTAAGCAAGGCAGTTTTAATTCCCATGATTCCTATTCCATTTCCTTGATGCAAAATTGTGAATCAATTTCCTTAAAGCCTCTGCCTCAAAGCTATTGACTGTTTTATTTTTTCTATAATATTTGAAAGGATTGAAATTATATTTCAGAATTGAGTTTAAGGACGGTCTTTCCCCTAGGGAGTAACATCACACTCTGTCTCTACATCTGTCTCTGTCTCACTGTCTATCTCTCTCTCACTCCCTGTCTCTCTGTTTCTGTCTCTCTTTCTCTATGTGTCATATTTCATAATGGCTACTGTTCCTTGCATCTGATTAGTTCCAAAAGATATTCTTTCTTATCCTTACTGAGAACCCGGCAAGCATCACTACAGGGAAAGGCAACAAAAGTAAGAGAACACCAGCAAGAATCTAAGCCACAGATACTCATCTTTTCCACTCATTCAGATTCAGTTTGGCACTTGGGACTGTAGGGCTTCTTCCAGTTTTCCGCTACAAAAGTATCTGAAATAGGCAATCAGATCTCGATTGCTGAATTTATCTTACATGCTTTTTTCTCTAAACTCATATGTAAACATTCATCTTAAAGTTTCATTATTATGATCTAAAAATGTCATTGATTTTCAGTTTGTCTATTATAGTTTCAATAGAAAGACAAACAACAATGACCTCCTATGTCAATATCAGAGCTGAAAACGTAAATCAGTTAAAAAATTATTCACAAGTATCAGTTGTACATACCAAATCATTGATTGTTTTCTTTTGTCTTAATATGCAAACCAACTTGCTTGCAAAGACTTACATGTACCAAGTTACCACTATATAAATTATTACTATAACATGAAGCAGAAATTCAATTTCATTGTTTTTAAAATTATTTGAAATGTATTTGCTTTTCTCCACTACAGAATAAAAGCTATAATAAAGGCAACCACTTTACTTTTGTTTTCCAATGTTCTCATTGGAAGAAGCATCCTTAACCTAAAAAGTCAGGAAACTAAATATATTTTGAAAGAATTAATATGAGCAAGGCCATATTTCTGAGTCCCTAGGAATTTTATTTACTGTTATTCTGGTTTGCTATCTTTTCCTCTATCATTACCAATTTTTAGTATAGTATCTTTGTATTTTTCAATATGTCATAACATATTTTTATATATTGTTATAACTTATTCCCTCAAAACCTGGTGCCTCAAGCCTCATGTCCTCGTAGGCAGGACTTTGGGAAGGTGCCTGGATCGTGGGTGTGTACCACTAGGATAAGGACTGTCACACTGTGTTGATTCATCAGTTGGTTTAGTATAGCTCTGGGTGTGATTGAATGGATTTACTGGAGGCAGAATCCTCAACCTGAGTGTGACTGGCACCAACGAATAGATTCATAGCGTGGATGGAGTATAAAGAGCTCCTGTGGCCTCCTGCCTACCCTGATATGGACTGTTTCCCTCCTGTGATACCCCTCTGCTGCACTGCCCTTTTTGGGACCAATTAACTATGAACTGAAACCTCTACAAACTGTGCACTAAGACATTACAAAGTAATTGGACCTCTTTTCATAGTGGAAATATTAATAGTCTTTCACTAAATTAGCTTTTAATTTTTAAGATCTCCTCTAATATTCTTAAATTTTAATCATGCATAATTAACATAGGAGTTTGATTTTTTCCTACTCTGAAGTTGGATACATCTTTAATTTTCATAATTTATTACTTTCTAGTATGAGAAAGGACACTACATTTTATTGTATCCCATGAGTTTGATGTTTAATGGTTTGACTTTTACTAAATTCTAACATAATTTAGGTTTCTATGTGATGCATGAATTACATGAAAGCTTATCATGATTTTGATTGTTACACTTTCTTTTATTTACTTATTTTTAATTTTTGGTATTGGGAGTTGAACTTACTATCTGGCACTTGCCAGGCAGCTTCTTATGCCACTGAGATATATCCCCAGCCTCAATATCCTCCTTTACTAGAATTCAAACAGGATTTAGGATTTCTAGTATAGATAGAAAATTAATTTTTTTACTTCTATTTGTATTTATTGCAGTACAAGATCTTTACAATGAACTCTCTCTCTCTCTCTCTCTCTCTCTCTCTCTCTCTCTCTCTCTGTGTGTGTGTGTGTGTGTGTGTGTGTGTGTCTCTCTCTCTCTCTCTCTCTCTCTCTCTCTCTCTTTCTCTCTCTCTCTCTCTCTCAACTTTGAGGCAGAGTCTGAGCTGCTATATTTCCAGTGCTGGTTTCAAAACTGTGACCCTTCAGCCCAATCATCCTAGAATGATGGAATTACAGACCAGCATCACCTTACCTATCTGAGAAAATACTTATTTATGATACTCAATCTTTGATATTCTTCCAGGTGTAATGTTAATGCTTTCTGTTTAGGTAAATGCTGTGTTTGTTTCAAATGAGCTTTAAAAATATTTCCTAAAATTATGTGCAGATTTTATATCTGCCAGATATGGTTTGTGTCTAGATCACCACAACCAATACGCCTCATTCTTCACAGAGTTTGTTTGGAAGTGGCTGAATGTAGAGTGTGTGATTGATTCATAGCAAAATGCTGGGATGAAGGGTTTGAGTGCTCTGCTTGGTCTAGGGCGTGTAACCTGCATACAATACAAGGGACAGAAAGAGTAGTGTTTCCTCTTCCCTTTTTGCTTTTGCTGTCTTCCCCACATGAATGGCTGCCTCTCTGTCATGTGTGGCCCTCCATAGAGTTGGCTTATGTTAGACTGAAACCTCTACAAAGTGAGCTAAATGAACCTTTGCTCTTTTAACTTTGGGTGTTGAGTATTTTGTTTCAGCAATGAGAGAAACGATACTGTCACATAGATTATTTATAATTTCATTCCAGTGTTTTGTACATTTGTTAATTTTTTTTTCTATTTACTAGCCAATACTTTAGTGAAATAGGTTGAATATTCCTAATATATATTTCCTCAATATTCAAATAATGTATGCTTATATATTCTCACTATAGTGGTTACTGAACTTAAATGCAAAAGTAGTATATTAATTTAAATACTAAACTTTCAATTTCTACTTCCGTATATATTACAAAAGACTTTCCTTACTATGTCTAGAAAAGCTTTATATAGTAGAATATACAAATGAACTGTTTTTAAAAATACTCTTATGTCCATCTTTGAATGACTTATATAACAGATATTTCTTGATAAGTGATAAAGCTCTAAGGACTATTTTCTTATTTCAAAATGATAGCTTTCTACTAATACATTTAATGCATTAATATTTGCTATCATGATTGATATACAAAATTTTAAAAATAATTACTCTTCATTTCATTCATTGTCATAGTTTTCTTCATGTTTTCGTTTTAGTTTATATATTGAATTTTGTTCATACTTGTCATTTTCACATCTTGTATCTATTTTAGATTAGAAATAAACTAATTTTGATACATTTACTTTTGTGTTAAGCTTGATAGTTAATCTTGCTTATATGACAGTTTTACTTGTGCTACTTTCTGTTTTCAAATGGGCATCTTACACTACTTTTATTTTCTGATTATTTGCTACTTTTTTAATGTTTTCCACACTGTTCTAGTTTATATCCAAATATCTCCCAAAAGTCTCATATCTAACTTGCAGTGGTGTTGGATTCTGGGACTGTGTAGCTGTTGGAAGTGTGGGATCCAGTAAAAGAGGAAGAGGTGGTTTCCTGTGAGTGTTGCCTGTACTGTTTATCTTCCTCCCAATTTTTCCTGTCACCCTTTCTCTGCTTCCTGTTCACCACGCTGCTTCTCAATGGCTGCCTGCCTTGGAGCTGACAGATCATGGACCAAACATTGTGAGCCAAAATAAACCTTTTGTCCTTTAAACTGCAGGTAACTGGTTGTATTGGTCAGGGTTTTACTAGAGAGAACAGATATAACCCGGAATATACAGAAACAACAAGATTGGCTTACGATAGTCAGTCACAGAGTCTGATGATGAAGCGTGCACTGGAGGCTGAAGGGTTCAATCCAAGATCTCTGGAGTTCACCCTAGTGTCTTGTGCAAGTCCACACTAGCAGGCTGATGGGTCTGAGACAGAAGGCCGAAGGCTCTGTGATGAAAAGCTGAAGAGTCTATGCTGGGAAGCTGAAGAGTCTGTACAGGAAGCCAGGAGGCCAGGTCCAAACTAAAGGCGAAGACTGGAGCTTCTCCCAAGAATGGCATAGATTTGTCCTTCCTCCTCTCCTTTTATACCTTGAGGTGATAACTCACCCTAGGGTGGGTCTTCTTCTACATCCTTGGGTGTAGAATTGCTAAACCCATTTAGTTAGCTTCTAACTGTCTCAAGTTGACACAATCAGTCATCCACTAGAATCCACCCCTTGTCAACTTGGCAACCAGACACATTTCTTTAAACTAGTTCCAGATACACAAACATGCATATAATTGCCCCTAATATGTTATGACTGTCCTTCGTACAAACGGAAACACAATAATTCCCCTACCAAAATACACAATGTAACTTTTCTTTGGTTGATGCTTACTCCTATCAGTTCATAAGCTTAACACTGTAGCACAAGTTTAACAGTTCCCAAAACACAGCATTACGTCTAACATTATGTTACATTGAAACCATATTTGGGGAGAAGTAGTAATCATAATCCCCTTTTCTGTAACTGATCATGAGGACGTAGCTGGTATTTAGAACTTCCTTCTTCCACTACCCATTCTGTATTTCCTTGGCCTTCAGTAAGCACCTCAGCAGGTCTCGGTTCTTTCCCCGGTGGAGTGGAGTGACCCATACTTTCATTCCTGAAGGTTCTGAACCACTTGTCACTTTGTCTGGATTAGGTTAGTGTAATTTTCCATTAACCTTAATGACAGGGCATGGTAATACTAAAAGGCCCTAAGGAATCTCCTGCACTCCATGTATATTCTTCCTTTCCTCCATTGTGGAGTAGTAGTCCAACTTCCCCTTGGTAGTCTGGGTCAATCACCCCTGACAACACCGTGACTCCCTTTTTAGCTTGATTCCTCAGAGGCAAGAGGAGACCAAAATGACCAGGGGGAAGTCTTAGCTTCCAGTTCAATGGTACCATTGTCGTGTTTCCTGGTATAAGCCTTCCCGCCTCTGGAACCAAAACTTCTAGTCCAGCAGAACATGAAGTCATGGGAACAGGAAGCAAAAATTTTGCTAGTGGATCACTAGGGGTGATGGTGAGTGGCACCATTCCTACTTCCACCCCTTGATTCCTGGACCCATGAATCCTGGCTATAGGAGACACAGTGCCATATAATGGACGCTGATTCAAAGCATATACAGCCTGTTGAAGCCTTGCAAACTATTGCCACCTAGCTGCCATTGTAACTGTGTCTTCAAAAGGCCATTCCATCTTTCTATCAATCCAGCTGCTTCTGGATGGTAGGGATATGGTAGGACCAGTGAATTCCATGAGCATATGCCCACTGTCTCACTTCTTTAGCTGTGAAATGTGTTCCTTGGTCAGAGGCAATGCTATGTGGAATTCCATGACGGTGGATAAGGCATTCCGTGAGTCCACGGATGGTAGTCTTGGCAGAAGCATTACGTGCAGCAAAGGCAAAGCCATATCCAGAATAGGTATCTATGCCAGTGAAGACAAAGTGCAGTCCCTTCCATGATGGAAGTGGTCCAGTATAATCAACCTGCCACCAAGTTGCAGGTTGATCACCTCGTGGAATGCTGCCATATCAGGGACTCAGTGTTGGCCTCTGCTGCTGGCATGCTGGGCATTCAGCAGTGGCTGTAGCCAGATCAGCCTTGGTCAGTGGCAGTCCATGTTGCTAAGCCCATGCATATTCTCCATCCCTGCCACCATGGCCACTCTGTTCATGGGCCCATTGGGCAATGACTAGGGTGGCTGAAGAAGGAGGTTGGCTTCTGTCCAGAGAACGAGTCATCTTATCCACTTGATTATTAAAGTTGTCTTCTGCTGATGTTACCTTTTGGTGAGCATTTACATGGGAAACAAATATTTTCATATCCTTTGCCCATATAGAGAGATCTATCCACATACCTCTTCCCCAAATATCTTTGTCACCAATTTTCCAATTATGTTCCTTCCAAGTTCCTGACCATCTGGCTAGACCATTGGCTACAGCCCATGAATCAGTGTACAGTCTCACATCTGGCCATTTCTTTTTCCAGGCAAAATGTACTACCAAGTGCACTGCTCGAAGTTCTGCCCACTGTGATGATTTCCCTTCACCACTGTCTTTTAAGGATGTCCCAGAAAGGGGCTATAATGCTGCAGCTGTCCACTTGCAGGTGGTGCCAGCATAACGTGCAGAGCCATCCGTAAACCAGGCCCTAGTCTTCTCGTCCTCTGATAACTGATCATATGGTACACCCCACAAGGCTATAGGTGCATGCTGGGAAACTGAAGGCAACATAGCGGGTATAGGAGCCATAGGTATTTGGGCAACTTCCTCATGTAATTTACTTGTACCTTCGGGGCCTGCTCTGGCTCAATCACGAATATATCACTTCCATTTAATGATAGACTGTTGCTGGGCACGTGCAATTTTATGACTTGGTGGGTCAGATAATATCCAGGCCATGATAGGCAACTCAGGTCGCATGGTGACCTGGTGTCCCATAATCAAGCGTTCAGTTTCCACTAGGGCCCAGTAGCAGGCCAACAGCTGTTTTTCAAAGGGAGAGTAGTTGTCTGCAGACGATGGCAGGGCCTTACTCCAAAATCCTAAAGGCCTCCACTGTAATTCACCAATGGGGGCCTGCCAGAGACTCCAAACAGCATCTTTGTTTGCTACTGATACCTCGAGCACCATTGGATCTGTGGGATCATATGGTCCCAGTGGAAGGGCAGCCTGTATAGCAGCCTTGACTTGTTGCAAAGCCTTTTCCTGTTCTGAGCCCCACTCAAAATGAGCAGTTTTCCGAGTCACTTGGTAAATGGGGTGGAGTAAGACACCTAAATGAGGAATGTGTTGTCTCCAAAATCCAAATAGGCCCACTAAGCATTGTGCCTCCTTTTTAGTTGTAGGAGAAGCCAGATACAACAATTTATCTTTTACCTTAGAATGGGATATCTCTACATGCTCCATACCACTGGACTCCTAGAAATTTCACTGAAGTAGAAGGACCTTGAATTTTTGTTGGATTTATTTCCCATCCTCTGGCTCTCAAATGCCTTACTAATGAATCCAGTGCAGTTGCTACCTCCTGCTCACTAGGCCCAATTAGCATAACATCATCAATATAATGGACCAGTGTGATATCCTGTGGCAGAGAAAAGCGATCAAGATCCCTTCGAACCAAATTATGACATCGGGCTGGCGAGTTAATATACCCCTGAGGTAAGACTGTAAAGGTATATTGCTGGCCTTGCCAGCTAAAAGCAAACTGTTTCTGATGATCCTTATGGATAGGTATGGAGAAAAAGGCATTTGCCAAATCGATAGCTGCATACCAAGTACCAGGAGATGTGTTAATTAGCTCAAGCAAGGAAACCACATCTGGTACTGCAGCTACAATTGGAGTCACCACCTGATTCAGTTTACGGTAATCCATGGTCATTCTCCAAGACCCCTCTGTCTTCTGCACAGGCCAAATGGGGGAACTGAATGGAGATGTGGTGGGCACCACCACCCCTGCATCCTTTAAGTCCTTGATGGTGGCAGTAATTCTTGGATCCCTCCAGGAATGCGATACTGCTTCTGGTTAACTATTTTATCAGGCAAAGGCAACTCTAGTGGCTTCCATTTGGCCTTCCCAACCATGATAGCCCTCACATTACAGGTTAGGGAACCAATGTGAGGATTCTGCCAGGTACTATGTACCTCAATCCCAATTACACATTCTGGAACAGGGCAAATAACTACAGGGTGAATCCGAGGACCTATTGGACCCACTGTAAGTCGGATCTTTGCTAGAACTCTATTGATCACCTGGCCTCCATAGGCCCCTACTCTAACAGGAGGGCCACAGTGACGTTTTGGATCCCCTGGAATCAGTGTTAGTTCAGAACCAGTGTCCAGTAATCCCTGAAATGTCTGCTCATTCCCCTTCCCCCAGTGGACAGTCACTCGAGCAAAAGGCCTTAGGTCCCTCTGGGGAAGGATGGGAGAAAGATTAACAGTGTACATTTTTGGTGCATCAGAGTCCTTCTCCAAGGGGACCTGGCCTCCCCATCATTCGAGGGGTTCTGGGTCTGTAAACTGGCTCAAATCTGGGAACTGGTTGAGGGGCCGTGATTCCCTGTTAGCATGATTTGATGTAAGGTTCTGTTCGTTTGCCCATAAATTTTTTTGATTATATAAATCTAGTAAAAATTTTGTAGGCTTCCTATCTGTTTCACTTCTAGGAACGCCATGGCTAATCAGCCAATGCCAGAGGTCTGCACGTGTTATATTATTCTGGTTATCGTTCTGCCTTTGCTGTCCATTACGGTAAGTACGTGGACCCTGCTTTTGGTGATTAAGTGCCATCACTTGACCTCTGCCACTCCAGGACCCAACCAAGCCTATTGCCCTTAAATGTCCTAATTGAGTAACTGCAGTCCCCACTGTAAGGTCTGGCATGCAAAGAAGAGCAATAACAGGGCCCTTCAGGGATGTCGGTGCTCTCCTCACAAATCTGTTTCTCAAGGTGCTGGTGGAGGGTATGTTTTCTGGATCATCCCCATGTGGAGGATTAGGTTTAACTTGACAGATCCACTCCAGCATTCCCATTTCCCTAAGTCTCTGAATCCCCTCATCAATAGTAAACCATGGAATATCAGGCATCTCTAGTGGGCCATCTTTTGATCCATATCTCTGCCAACCATCCAAATAAACTATTAACACCTTTCTTCACACCACGAGCTATGACATTAAATTCAGAATCCCTACCTAATGGGCCCATATCAACAAATTCAGCCTGATCCAGATGTATGTTTTTGCCACCATTATCCCACACTCGTAAAATCCAGTCCCATGCTTGCTCATCAGGCCTCTGCCTATAAGAGTTGGAAAACTCAAGAAGCTCTTTGGGAGTATAGCGAACCTCTTCATGGGTCACAGTATGTATCTCTCCTTTAGGCCCTTTCTGTGATTTGAGCCTGGTTATGGGCCTGGAGGCAAAAACGGGTATTAAGGGTGGGTCCTGAGGAGCAGCAGCATAATCCTGTTTAGTCAACATAGCATGAGCTTCCCCAAAAGTATGCTAGGATATTCCAACATAGCAGTGGGTGGAGGTGGTGACGCCTCTGCCATTTCAGGTGGAGAAATCGCTCCCTCAGGCAAAATAACTTCATTAGCATCCAGAAATTCAGTATCTTCACTTTCCTCAGAATCCTCCCATACATCTCCATCCCAATTCATGGGATCCCACTCTTTCCCAACCAGTGCCCTCACCTTTGCTTCTGATACTCTTCGAGGCTGAACATTAAGTTTACGTTGTAGTTCAGCCAATCGAATTATGAGGGACTGTGTCTGGGTTTCTGCAATCTCAGTCTTGCGGCTAAAAAAGAGGAGATTTTCACTCATGACACACTGAGAAATTTTTAAATTTCTTATCTGTTTCTGGAGATGCGATTTTTCATTCATTAGTTTGTCCAAAGCAGCTAAGACCAGCCATCCAACATCATTATATTGTCTGCTGTGCCAAAGATATTCAAAATTGTTTTGTACAGAATCACTAAATTTTTGACATCTCACAATTGGTGAATTAGGATAATCAAATGGATCTATGAGATGTATTAGTTTAAACAGTTCATGCCAAGGATTATCAGTATATTCCACAGAAGTAGAAGCAGAGAACTTGGTGTCTTTAGGTCTCACCAAATTGCAGAGCCAATTCCAGGAAGCTCTAACACCATTAAAGAATGCCATTGTTATGATTCTGTTTCTCTAGGACCACTCTCGGTGCCAAAATCTATATTGGTCAGGGTTTTACTAGAGAGAACAGATATAACCCAGAATATACAGAAACAACAAGATTGGCTTACAATAGTCAGTCACAGAGTCCGATAATGAAGCGTGCAGAGGGTCTTTATGCACTGGAGGCCGAAGGGTTCAATCCAAGATCTCTGGAGTTCACCCTAGTGTCTTGTGCAAGTCCACACCAGCAGGCTGATGGGTCCGCGACAGAAGGCCAAAGGCTCTGTGATGAAAAGCTGAAGAGTCTATGCTGGGAAGCTGAAGAGTCTGTACAGGAAGCCAGGAGGCGAGGTCCTGGGGAAGACTGGAGCTTCTCCCAAGAATGGCATAGATTTGTCCTTCCTCCTCTCCTTTTATACCTCAAGGTGATAACTCACCCTAGGGTGGGTCTTCTTCTACATCCTTGGGTGTAGAATTGCTAAACCCATTTAGTTAGCTTCTAACTGTCTCAAGTTGACACAATCAATCAACCACTAGACTGGTATTTTGTCCTAGCTCTGAGGAAAGCGACAAAGACACACACTATTCTAAATGTTAATATGTGACATACAGTTCAATATTTGATCAGATACCTGACTTCAGAATTTTGTGATGGCTTTCAAATTCCCTTTATTTACCAGCACCACTGTAGTTATAACACTGTGAGAGAGTATCTCAAGGTTCAGTCTTCCCGGGTACCACATCAGTCGGCAGGTATGTCATTAATACATCTTTGCTTAATCAAATTTTGTACAAGATTGGGGTTGGGGATTTAGCTCAGCAGCATAAGCGCCTGCCTTGTAAAGCAGGCAGTCGTGAGTTCGATCCCCGGTACCGATAAAAAGGAAAAAGACAAAAAAAAAAAAAAAAAAAAAAAAACCAAAAAAACACATCTGTACAAGATTGTCACAGATAGCTTCAAAACTGAGATATACAATGAGGGATGAATTTATACATGAGTTTATATTTTGATTTTTTCCTTTATGAATGTTGTAGTCTGGGGTTGTACACAGAGAACAGTTCAGATCAGGATATGGAGTTTATAATATTTTTATAATGGTCACGGGAAGTTAACACAGGAGAATGCAGGAAATCTATCCGCAACACCAACGACACAGATTATTTAGTCAAGAGTCTAAACCCCATGGCAATGTTCCAAATGAGTCCAGATAAAAACGCAAAGCTCAGAACAATGCCTCCACGAGTCCAACTGGAAGTCCAGAGCCTACAAGAAGGACTCAAGCCAGTCTCTTTTACAGATTCGTGCCGGGAAGACTCAAGGATCAGCAGTGGAAGCCAGAAAGTCTATGCCAGCAGGATGAAGGAGCTGTGCTAGTGGGATGAGGGTTCTACACTGGATCCGAGAAGTCACACTCACAACGAAGAGTGGGGCTGTCCTGAAAGGAACCATAGCTGTCCTCAGCGACACAGAGGCCCCGAGCTCCTCTGAAACAAGCACAATCGGGTATGTGCCAGGAAGCAGCGTGAAGAGTTCATCCTGGAGACCAGGCAGCACATGTCTTCCCCTCCAGAGCCAGGAAGCAATGTTGGATGTGAAGACCAAAGCTTCTCCAGGAGAACCAACAGCTCAGACAGTAACTCGTAGGAGAATACACAATGCCTCCATAAAGGCTTCAATCCCTCCTAACACCTCTCTTCTTCTCCACCTATTTATCCTGGCAACCCTCCTCAGGTGGAGGATCTTCTCGCCATGCATGCTGATGTAATCCAGCTGGGGTTAAGTTGACCACCAATTTTCAAAGCATAGCAATGAATTTGAACTAATGTTTAGTGTACAAATTAAATACATAACTAAATCCTACCTGGGATACCAGTTTTCTTGAAAAAATAATGCCCTGATAAAATACAATGCAAGTTATCTCACAGTTACTGTGAAAGTTTTAATTATTGAAAACCTATTAATTTAACTTCAGGTAAAATAAAAATTATTAGACATCTCTATTTTTAGACAATTCATAAATAAGACAGAGGTAAATGTCTGTTAAAGTAAAAAAAACGGTGTTTTCATTTTTACCTCCTCCTAAATGCAATGTGAGCACTGCTTATTTTTTTTTTTTCCCATGGTTGAGTATTTTGGAGAGTTGTGGGAATAATTCGATATTTACATTCAAAAAAATTTAATGCTTTTTAAAAGTTAATAATTTAAAGAAATGTAAAGATTTTGAGAATAGAAAGCTTATGGAAGTTTAGCTTAGTTGATCAGTCCTCCATTGTGCAGATAGAAGTTATTGAGATTAATAATTGATAAGACCCAATGTGTCTGTTTCTCCACTACCCTCTTAGATTGTTAAATATGAGCCACTGACTGAATAACAGTTTCTAGATTTAATTAATTTAGTACAGAGTAGTAAGTCAAATGCACTTTTTATTCTATATCATATACATATACATAAATTTTTAGATGCTACTGATCACATTCTGATAGGATCATTTTATTGTTAAGATTTTAAACAGTTACTACCCAGATCCATCTTTGGAAAAACCAACATTATTTACTTAAAACAGTTATTTTAGAGTCTTAGAGGTAATACATCAACCTCTCTTTACATTCTTTTATTATCATATGCTGTTAATTATACTTGGGAAGGTATCTTTGAACCATGATGTGCAAATTTCAATGTATGCACTCACATTTACGTTTTTTAATACCAAGTTTAAGAAACAGGAAATGAGATAATATTACCATTTTCTAGGGAGTTATTTCTTTCTTCATGTCAGATTTAAATGCCTGACGCTGAGCTCCAGTGTGTTTGAAGCTAAAACGCTAATCCAAATGCTTTCACCCCAACTAGATTCTAGTGATTTATCAGTTCACTTCATTCTGCCATCTCGTCAGTGCAAGAATCTGGCTCCCTTGCCTCAGACTTGGGGATTATGTCTGGGCTCACGGGAAGTTTAGCACCGCTATCGGGAAACACAACCGGTCTGTGCTCCTGCTGATAAAAATGTCTCTGTCTAGTTTGGCAAGGCCAAGCCGAGGCAGTTGTTCCAGCAAAGCTTTGCATTCCTTTCCTTTTGATTCACTGCTATCCTAGCTTCGGCCTGAAGCTAAGCCCTTCATATCCTGTGCATCTCCCATTTGATGTGGCTCAGGATCCCCTCTCCAGCTTCCCCATGTGGGGTGACTACCTCTTTCTTGGGGCCAAACTGCAAACCTCGTGCTGCTCTTACCTGCGAGTTTCTTGCTGAATACCAAGGGGTAATTCCTTCTCCTCTATCTCTACTTTGTACGCTCAAGAATCCATGTTCCACCCTTTAAGATCTTTCTTCTTTGACCTTTCTTAGTCCCTTCCCACTAATATGTAGCTAAAATATGTTTCTATTGATTTTCACATTTACGTTGAGAGAATTTGCAGAGTTGCTTCAGAATTTCAGAAAGGAGCTAGGGGCAAATCTCTACTCCCAATCTCCTACCTCAACCTAAAGAGCTAGTCTGCTTGTCTTTCTGGTCTCTCTGCCCAGCACAAATGTTCTGTCATTGACTAGAAACTTTGTGATTGAAAACACAATCTTTGTATCAAAACTTTGTGATTGTATCAAAAGTGGCTTCTTATTTTCTTTATCTAAGTCAAATGGCTTTTCAGTTTGTGATGATTAAAAACAAAACAGATGAAAGGGCTAGAGACAGCTTTAACACTGCAATATTTTCTATCTCAACCTTTCATGAAACTTTGCACATGATATTCTACGGTTCTAAACTTAGGAGCTGGGATGGTCCCTTCCTCCTCATTGCCCTCTGAAGAGGACAGCTATCACATGGCTGAAAGTGTGTGGTCCTGAGTCACGGTGTAGAGGTTGCCAAATGGTGCTTTTATTTATTGGTCTAACCAAAATTATTGCTTGTGACAGTATCCTGAGACTCACAACTTATTAGTCTCAAGAATATTCCTAAGATTTGGTAAACCAGTACTCCCAAAGTGACTGACGGTAGACATGACTTTCTTTTCCTCAGAGTATCCCCATACAATACGGAGATCTTAACAGTCTTTCTCCTGCCATAGGCAACTGATGCAGACAGAAAAACAGATCTGGGCAGACACGACTGGTGTCTTCTCTTGGAAATTTGAGGAAAAAAAAAAAAACACTCAGAAACATAAAGAGATTCTAGACCTTCTGTTGCTGGTGCTGAAAGAACTTACAAAAATTTCTGGCAGGAACATATTCAGATACATTTCTGGTTAATTTTCTTTGTAGGATGCGTCTCTTTAGTCCATTCTCTTAGCATTATGAATTTGGTTCTGGTTAATCTCCGTGTTCTGCATAACCTCATTCAAATTGGATTTCTCTCACATGTGATGAGGCTAATTCTGGATGACAAATTATTGGCAGAGGTGGCCCCTGGGACTTCAGGGTGAAGGCAATCAAATGCCTCATGTGGGCCCCTGCACCCTTCACTGGCTGTAGGCACTGACAGTCACTGCAGACAAAGCGGGATCCTTACCTCTCTAAGTCACCAGTTGGGACAACATCGCCACCAAGAACAGTGAGCCACACAGCTGAGTCTGGGTAAGTGGGAGGTCAACCTTGGATGTGTGCAAGATTTGGTGCTACTTTATTCGCTACTGCATTGTATTCTGACTAATCATAATCATGGCTCATAAAAGCAATGTATATTCTAAAATAGCTCTTTACACCTCCCTTCTGGCAAAGATTCACTCCCTGATCAGGCTCCAGCCAGGATGCTCAGAGCCTTAGACACTTCTTTTTATTCGGGCCTCAACCTTGGCCAATAAAGACATAAACGCAACACTGACATAGTTTTTGGCAGCTGCAGGCTGCATCCATGACCCTCTAGAGGTGGCTGTCGGAGAGAACCAAAGGCTTCCCAAAGTACTTGGGTTCTCTCCAGTCAGCGGTGACTGCACGATCCTTTCCCCAGCCCAGGATCCTGATTTCTCCATGAGCACCACTTCAAGAACACGGACAGGATTGCTGGACCAGGCTTACCCTCC